CTAGCAAAGATAATTTCGTGACGCTTGTCAGAGGAGTGTAAATTCCCAACAAGCAAATGGCATTCCCAGTCCAGCGTACTGTGGCAGACATACGCACTGTGCAGGCGCGCGCACACACAAACACACACACACACACACACACACACACAGACATATACACAATGGTTATTTTACCTTTTTTTTTCTATTAGCTCGCGCGCAAATGCTACACGCTATATAGCTGCCAAACGAGCGGCTGATTAACTCTCAAAGCTCTCTCTCTCTCTCTCTCTCTCTCTCTCCGGTCGACGCGCCCTGTTCGACTAATATAACGGGCTTTGGCCGTTGTTGGCACTGCAGGGGTCCAGTTCAATGCCGTGTGTGCGTGTGTAGATGCTAGAGCGAGTGTACGTGAAAGGGAGAGAACGCATTTCCATAATAGTTGATGCGCGAAATGACAAAGGCCCCGCGGGCCGAAAACAACGGAGCTTTTACGCGCCGATGCGACCTTTGAACGTTTCGCGCGCGCGCGCGAGTGAGAGAGCAACAGATCTGTTATCTACCGCAGGCCAGAGAGCGAGTGTGAGACACACACACTCACACATACACATACATGTAAACGTGGATGAAATAATCGATGGGAATTATTTCTGCGTTGCAAAGTGACGACGACGATGCGACGGCGGCGGCGGCGAAGATAATGATGATGATGATGATGATCGGCGTCGATAGGTCACTCGCCGCGCGCACATTTGCATACGCGAGTGCTGCAGCTATACTACGGATACCATGCTCCGCAGTCAGCCTGCAGCGCGTCAAAGCGTGTTATAAATGCTGTACTGTTATGTTACGCTCGCGCGTTTAGCGGTCCTTTGCGCAATTTTTCCCCTATTCATTGATTTCCCAACCGTTCGAGTGAAATTAAAAATAATCAAAAAATAAAATTAGAAAAATCTAAGAGGATAGTTTCAAATATTATTATGATGCAAATATTATGCAACGTTTACCGCAGAAACGAAGGCAAGGCCTTTGACTCATTAATGCGGATAAGTGCGTATGGTTCTTGGAAAAAAAAAAACAAAACTTCGCACTCGCTTGCTGCAGGAGCGAATTATTCGCATATAATACATAGATGCACATGCAAAGAGAGAGAGAGAGATACTCTAACGATATATACGTCGCTTACAAACATAATGACGACTTCCTTCGAGTAAAATAAACATATATATACGTACTGTATACGCACTTACCTTAGCTGCTGCTCTACAGCACAGTCTGTAGAGGTGGGCGCATAAAGTGCACACACCATATAGGTTCTCACAAAGCCAGCTCGTCGGTGCGGTGCTGCCCTTGGAGCTGCGGTAGCGCGCGCAGCGGAAATCACCGTAACACAGATGTAACTAGAAAAGGGAAACGAATACTTTATCCTTCCATATATATTCTCTCAACGATGTTATGTACGTATATATGTATAACGCGAATATGTAAGCACAGCTCGCACAAGTGCATGCATAGCATATAACGTACGCACGGCAGCAGAGCATTTGTAATATAATGTACACGGTTAACGAGAGCAATTTTTTCTTTTAAATCTGTACACGGCATGTATGCGTACGAGAACGATATTATTAATTCAATTATCCGAGGCTGTATACCTTCTGCTGCGCGTATATTGTGCACACATCCAATAATGCCCGTGTAATAAGTATTTGTTTACACGTGCATAGTGCGCCGGCATGCGCGTAAATACGTAAATACGTAACGTATGCTCACGTACACGGGGAGTAAGTTCGTGTTTTGTCTGCGGCGCGGTGTGATGGCAACGCGAGTTTTAGGACGACGAAGCGGTGAGCAAATCAGTCATGTGAAAATTTGTTGTCACAAGCTTCTCGGCGTACACGACAAACTCAATTCATCAACGACGATGTCGACGACGACAACGACAACGACGACAGCAATGGTGAGTAAACACACAGATACAGTGTGAGAGGATCGCGCATATAACTCACCGTGACGACGCGCGCAATGGATTATAATAGAAAAGCCCGAAAGAGACGGGGGAGGTTAGGGTGAGTGAAGAGAAAGATCCATGACATCTCGTTTGCCGAGATAGAGCGAGAAATTTTCTTTCTCGAGGGAGCAGCAGCAGTGAGCTCGAAGATCGCATGTGGTTTTTGGTGGAGCAGCAGCTCTTTTTGCGACGTTGGCCTTCAGTCATGCCAGCCCCATGTTGCGACACAACTTTGTGTACATTGGATTAATGCCGGCTACCCCAAGACCCCCGAGTGGACGCAGTCGTTTTACGCGTCTACATCTACGTAAAAATGGTATCACCTTAACGAGCGTGTCAGAGGTATTTTCAGGTGTACGTGCGCCCGCTGGACGAGATGATAACGAGCTTGAGTAATCGTATATATAATTTCGCATAGTGACGAATGCGGATTTTGAGTGATTTTTTGTAAAATACGCGCCGATTCGAAACAAGTTCATATTATGCTTGTCGCCGGGAGTCGTCGCTGTCCACTTTTCTCGTTCGCGAGCGACATCCACGACAGCTCGTAAATTAAGTTCTTGCGCAGGAGCGCGAGTGGACAAGTTAGCGACGATCGCTTCCTTGACATTCCTCAAAAAGCTGCGCGAAACAAAGTTGATGTTTATTTCTATACTGTGTATGAATAATCCCAATGACGATCTCGTTTTTGTTGCTCGTGCACACGCGATCTCGCGCTACTAAGTTGCATACGAATAAAAGTCAAATTACAAGTTCATATAACTCGTTTAAATCAGCTTCTGTTCTGGACCAGATCGAAATTGTCATTTTCAGCTAGTATCTTTCTCCGTTCATGGTAGCTCGTGAACAAAAACAATAGAAAACTGACACGATCTCTTTAATGCTAAAATGAGCTTTTTCGCAAGCACTGCCGATCGTAATACTTGAAAATTAAAACGACTTTGCTTTGTTGCCTCGCAAAACCTATGCGAGCTCTCGGATGATAATACCTTGCTCGAGTCTAACTTTTACGCTTCAACGTATACGAATTATATACATTTTAAAGTTTACATGCGAACCCCCGCTGCAGATATGATTATGATAGCTGTGACTCGTCTAATCTTCCCAGATTCCCGGTCCTCTCTCTCTCTCTCTCTCTCTATCTGTCTCTCTCTGTCTTTGTGCTAAAGTCGTTCGCGCGCGCGGATCACACACCTTTCCTCTCCACTCCCAAGAGACCGATGCTCTCTTCTCGCTGTATAGCTCAACTCTGCGTATGTGCTTTGCATTAAAATATCTGCTTTAAACATCGTCTACTCCAGCGAGCACTGCTCACGGGAGACACATACAGATGTCCATTTAGCATTCGACTACAAAAAAAAGTGCTCGTATGTATATGAGCAATTCCGTAGGAACAATCTTGTTTTAAAATTCGAGGCTGAAATTTCGATTGAAATGTTTCACACTTAACGAGTGATTACAAACGAATATTAAGACATTGATAATATATATGTTCCATAGTATTCACTTATATTGTGATTGACATTATCCCAACTATTCGAACATTTCCTCTGACTCTCTTTTTTGCTTTAGAACATCGAATACCAGAAAAAACCACTAGGATTAGTGAAAATTATATTTAAATTGTATGATTTTTGGTGAATGTTAAACAATTAATCTACAAATTTCATCATTTTTTATGATTTTAACGAAAAAATGTGAAAATATAAAGGGGTTAAAATATTCTAAAGAGTACGAGTGATTTTTTCAAATTTTAAATATTAATATTTAAATATATTTGCTCGGCATTCTGCAAATTCAGTTGCCACTAGCATATAAGTTTAGATACAAATATAGCATAGAACTTTTCACAGTGTTAAAACTGATAAAAGTTAAAAATAGTTTCAAGTTTTTTAACAAATTTAAGAAATATTTATTTCTAATTGACATTGACATACTCGAATGATTGCAAATTGATTACGTCCATATGTCTGGAGAATAAACTCACTTTTTTAAGATTTCCTAAATTATGTTAGTTTTGAAGGAATCTTTGCAGCCTTGCTTCTGAAAAATACCACATTCCAATGATTCGCTACGATTATGTATTCTATTTATGTCAGATTTGAGATTACTATTATGTGCAAATGATTTACGACAAATCTCAGATTTAAATGGTTCACTATGATCATGAACTCTTATTGTTTGTCTTTGCGTAAATTCTGGTATCTAAATGATTTTTTAGAATTGTTACACTTGAAGGGTTTACTCCGATTATGTACTGTATTTATATGAGTTATGAGATTACTTCTGATCTCAAATGATTTATGACAAAATTCACATGTGAAGGCTTTGCTATGATCATGAACTATATTTATGTGCGATTTGAGTCGATTTCTGCACTTATATGCCTTGTAAGGGAGTCCTTCCTTGAAAATGATATGCGACAAATATCACACTCGAATGATTTGCTCCGATCATGTACTGCATTCGCGTGTCGTTTAAAGTCATATTTGTGTCCAAATGATTTGTGACAAATCTCACATTCGAAGGGTTTTCTATGATCATGTACCGTATTTATATGAGTTTTGATAGTACTTCTGATCCCAAATGATGTATGACCAATATCACATTCAAAGGGTTTGCTACCAATATGTACTACACTTATATGCCTTGTGAGGGAGCCCTTCCACGAAAATGATTTGCGACATATCGCACATTCAAAGGGTTTGTTACGATTATGAACTGTATTTATGTGAGATTTAAGGTAACCTTTATGTCCAAATGATTTGTGGCATATCTGACATTCAATGGGTGTGCTCCGATTATGTACTGCACTTATGTGACGCATGAGGTCACTTTGTAGTCCAAATGATTTGTGACAAATCTCACATTCGAAAGATTTTCTATGGTCATGCACTGTTTTTGTATATTTATTATGGTTATTCTTGCATGAAAATGATATATAAAACAAGCCACATTCATTCGGTCTAATGTCATCAAGTTTTGTATTCGTATGATTTTTTTCCAGCATTTTCAAGCTTTAAGTTTGGAAAACTTTTAGGCTTCTCGTGTTTGGTCGGTTTTAAACTGAAGTTCATATTCAATTGACAATTATTATCATAGTTAAATCCTTTTTTAATCTAAATTATTAGACTTTTTCCATTCATATAATTGGTGGGATTGTAGTTTTCTATTTTCAAATTAGCTTGGCAACTTTTATACTCAGTTTTGCAGATAGTTGTCGATAGAGATTTCGGTTCAGATTTAACATATTTGCACTCAAAATCTACGAATATTTTTCCATTTAACTGTTCTTGTAACGCCATAACCTTATTCCTGTAATTTGCCTAAAATTGAAATTGTGAAGTTGTTTTTGATAGAGGAAAATCAGAAGATAATTTCAATCATCAAACTTACCGGTGATTTAAAAAACGATAATGTTTCAAATTTTTCGGCTTTGCAAGAATTCACCAAATCGAGAACGTAATTGTCACCTGAATTGGACCCAGTATCAATAGGCTCCTCCTCCACCCTGCAAAATAATCGAATTTGATGAAACATTCGATTGAAAAAATATTATGGCAAGCACAAAATATTATATACCTATTTACGTCATTGTCGTTATCCATCACTTCCTTGATAGTATGTATTCACTGTAATTTTTCTCTATATAGACTGCAAAAATATTTGAGGTTAAGCGTTGCTCTATGATAGCTAACACTGTAGCTCGATTTGAAGTATAGAATTGTTCTTTTTTTTGCAGAAATTACTTGTAAACACTTGCTCTACGTGGAACTCAGTTTCACGCTACTGAATGAACACATCAGTCGGAACATCACAAGATGATTTTCTCCCTCTACCGTCGGCCGTGTCCATACATCGTTATTGTGTACGTAAATAGCTTTGTTCTCTGTATGTATACATTCCACCCAATAGATTTCGCAGAAAATAATTTAAGATGCTCGCTTTACGCTTCAATTTGTGTGTATATGAGCAGTTCTACATATCATTGAGGTTAAAAATTTGAGTGAAAAATGCCCTATAAACATTTTTAAAGTTATATTTTTTAAGAAGCTATTTTTACATAGCTTTTTGGTGTTCTAGAGAACAAAAATAACAAAAGATAAATACCTCTCAAAATTGTTGTTGTTCGCGAATTTTCCGCTGACTGTGAGCCCACAATTAAAAGTTATCAACGCATCCAGTGACGAAATTTCCAATCGAGATTTTAGCCCCAAGTTTTAAAGATCTTTTGTAGAATTGTTCATATACGCGAGCTGCACTCTCGACTCCGGCTCGTAGCAGTTCGTGTATATGAATGACGTTTTATATGCGAATATCAGTGTCGCGCGCGCCCAACCAGGTACTTATACGCGTTATGTGTATAAACTTTCAAGTACGACAAGCCGCCACCGTGGTACATACATGTGTGTGTATATGTACTCGAGCAGACACTCGTGACAATCGATCACAATTACACAGTCTCGTACACACGACTCAAGTACAACATACGTATACATATGTAATCTTCGAGCGTCATCTCAGTCGCGGTAGAGTCGTTCGATGCTCTCGAATATGTATTTATTTGCGTATGTATAAAGGCAAGATTCCTGAACGTCGTGCGTTTAAAAAGCCAAAGTTGATTAAGCTCAATAATGTTCCACCGACTTTACAAGCAGTTCAGTTATTTTTTTATTTTTATTTTTGAAAATACAGCTTAATTTGTCTGTTAAAGTATAGGTATTTACAGAAGTTTAAAAAGTAGCAATGACTTTGTTTTGATTTCTTCAACTTTGAGCATTGGAAGCCACGACGATACGCGCACTAGTTAACGTTGATCCAAAAGAGCAAAGCTTGCACGTCATACGCCCAGTGAATTAAGCCAACAGTAAATGAAACGCGAAGCGCCGTATATATATAGTGTGCGTACATGCAAGAGTCGTTAGTTACTGTCAGAATTATGTCAGGTCCCGCGCAATATTGCGTTCCTGCCGCGCGGCGCCAAATGCGTTACGTACGTATGCTACTTTTTTACGGGCTTTAAAGAGCGCTCCGCACGCGCGCGGTACACACGACTGCATATATACACAAATGAGCACCGTTAGAGCACTGGAGAGCAAAACAGAGTCGAGCCACGACGGAGCTGGAGAGATTAGAGACGACCCTTTGTGGGTACACGTTATAGGTATAAATACGCACGAGCGCGCGGACTCGTCGTGCCTTCAGCAGTTGCATACAGGCAATTATTGCAGCAGTGAATATATATGTATAACGCGGGCGCGCGGTACGGAGCGGACGAGCGATTAGTAGTAGCAGCTACGTTGTACTGGTAGTAGTAGTAATGGTGTACTAGTAGCACAGCCGGTGCATCCGTGAATATATATATGCGTTGCAAAACCGCAAGCACGCGGTAAGCTCGCGATATTCGGTTTTTTTCTGCTCCTTCTTCTAGCTCGAGAGCAACATGTATGTAAAAATCATTCATTCTATGTATCTGAGGGTTGGAAAAATGTGTAATGCTTTGGTTTGCGTTGTGGTCAAGATTCGATGATTCTTCGTGTTTATTCTAAAATTGGCTTCGAAAGCTAGGAAAATTCTCGTCGCTCTATGCATAAGGACTTTTACACGTTATAGATGAAAAGTACACTTAGAAAATTACAAGACACTGTTTAATTTTCAATATAAATTTTATGAACAGAACGTCTAGAGTTATAGAATTCTTTAGTTAGTAATGAACATTTTACTATCCACATGATGTTTGGTACCCAAGGCATACTTAACTTAAAGGCTTTAAATTTAATGAAGATGCAACGTGAGATCAGATATTAAAATTAAAGTAACCGATTCCTAATTTTATTCAAAGTACTTGTACATTAAATATTAGTTGAAAATAAATGTTTTAATACTGATTTTACCACCACTAGATGGCGAATGCCTTTATTTGTAAATCTGCAAGTGGCAAAGATAAAATAATTGTTTATAATAAGACAAAGCACGGAGCTAAGCATTGATTTTAATTGCATTATATAACTATAACCGAAATATTTATTCCTCCAAAAATTTTCCCGCAACAATAACTAATTGAAAATTCATTGGCCTAAGTTCGACGAATGATTGGCGTTATAGATGACGAGAATTTTTCTCGAAACAAACCCCCGTGCCACGCTTACGAATACTTACAGTTGCTTGGCATACGACATCGACGAAAAGCGAGAAACGATAAGCTCCTCCCAACAATAGCAGCAACCCCCTTTGCAAGAAGTTGCAGAACTGGGAACATGCAGCCGAANTATATATATATATATATATATATACAGGATGTCACCCAAAGAGAACATCGTTGAGCTTTTTCGCTTTATGCGCGTGTATACCGAACTCACTAAGTGCCGATTGCCATATAACCGTTTTATATGTATATGAGCAAAACAAACTTTCATATATAGAGTCAAAACTTATATAGGGGGATGGAAAAGGGTTTCCGATACGTCACAAATTATCTGTGTTTTTGTCCTGTCGCAACTTTAAAATGTCCTTTGTCAAATATGCATAATACTACAAAGTAAAATGTCAAAATGATGAAGTTCATTTCGTTAAATCGTATCAGCTCTTCACTATATTCAGGGTCCTTTGAAAATGCAAGCTACGTAACTTGCTCGAAGGAATGAACATTATATAAGGAGGAATCTCGCAGAGAGCAAAAAATAGAGATAAAAGACAAGACTCCTGAGTAAAATTTTTAAAAATGCAAGCGAGCTTGAAAACGCATTTTTTTACGCTCGAGCAGTGTAATATACACGTGTATACAGAGTTAGGGGGCATAGAAAGATTCACTCTCATCGAACGGGTAAAGACTCGAATCCCGAGCTTATACTCTCGGTGCTAATCAACAATTTATAAACAGGAGAAATTGCCAACTCGAGTCGTACTCTTTGACTCGACGACTAAAGAAAACTTCCACGGTGTTTTTTTTTTCTTTTTTTCTGTACTCTACTCGAGTATAGGAGCAAGTATATACACACACAAATGGAATATATTAAGATGTGAAAAAATTCTGTGTCGAGACAAGAGAAGAGAGAGAGAGAGAGAGAAAGAGAGAGGAAAAAAGGAAGAAAATGTTTGATTCTGCTTTCCAGGCAAGAAGAAGCGATTATCAATAATTAAGCAGACGAGCGAAGCCGAGGCAAATCTCAAGACAATCGAACGCAAGTTTCTTTTTCTGCGCGCTTAAAAAAGTTTCATCTCCAAGCACACAAGTTTTGAGAATAAAACTGCAAGAGGAATCCATTTCTGCTGCCGCTGCCGAGAAAACATATACTTCTCGAAGTCGTTAAATCCTGGCAAATAATCACGTATCTTGGGGGCGAGGAACGATTTAATTTTGCCTAAGCGAGCTCTCCAGCAACGATCGCAGGCCTCAAGGGCGTTATACCTTTTAACGCATGCAAATGTTGGAGCCTAGTAGTCCACGGGACAGCGCCGATTTCGTGAAGTGATTAATACATGTCTGTAACTTCGGGAATGGCTTCGTTTCGTTGAGTCCGACACGAACCTCTTGTACGGAGTTTTGGTTCCGCTGCATTTTCAATGGCGCATGTGCGAAACATGCCAGATACAAACAATTCTCTTTCTTGATAAATATATAGTTATATTTAATAATTTTGGCCTTTCCATTTCAAACTATGTATGAAAAATAACTTGTCCGACGAAAGGGCTACCGCAATGAGATGGTCCGACGCGTCGAAACCCTTTGCCCTCAAGCATTATTGTTTTTTGATAAATACATACTTTTTTTTTCAATCATTTGATTGATAATCACCAATATTATCAAGTGCTCATAGTGTCCGACAAATTCTCTGCTGCATTTTTTCAGTCCGATTGATGAAATATGACTATAATGCGAGATGATGTTTTCTCAT